CCCCCCCCCCCTTTTTTTTTTGAAAATTGATCTGATTGCATCTATATGTCGTTGACATTTTCATATGTCTTGCTTTGTTTACCCGTTCAGTTTCTGTGGGGCAGATGTTGTTGGAATAGAATTTGATGCACTACATGTTTCAGTTTTGATGTTGCTTTGTCATAGTCGTTGACTAATCCATTTTATCGTTAGGAAGCTTTCAACTTATCATTTTCAATCAAGTCATTGCTGTGATAGAATCAACACCAAATGAACTACACAAGAATATAATTTGCTGCCATAAAATTTTCATGGGATACTCAAGTTGCTGCTTGAGCCCTTAGTACGATACAAACCTTGCATTCTCCTCTCTCTTCCTCCCTCTCTCTGTCTTTGTGTGTGTTTTTCTTTGGTGATGGGGCATCTGATTTGTGCTTCATAAAGAAATATGTCTTAGTATGAATGCAATTTGGTGATTATCATTGTTGATTTATGGATCTGAAACTAGTTCCCATGTATTTTGGTTGGGGTTTATTTGTGTGTATTCTTATTTTCCTTTGACTGTGGGGACATCTAGTTTCCCCTTTGCATGAGAAAATTCTTTGTGGACTCAGATTTGTGATTTTCGTTATTGATTGAAAGGTCTCAAACAAAATACCAGATTGTGTTAACAAAGACGGATTTGGTATTCCCAATTGATGTGGCACGCCGTGCAACGCAAATTGAAGAGGTATTACTTGAATCCATCAACTTTTTTCTTATGTCTGTAACGCTTGCCCGTTGGACTACTATTCATATGTATGATGTGGTTTTGTAGAGCCTCAAAGCAAAGAAGTCTGTTGTGCAGCCTGTGGTAATAAGTTTAATTCTTTAATTTGATTTGATGTTTTGCCCAGTATTGTATAGGACTAGCTTAGTACTTTGGCTTTGGTTTTTATTCCAGATGATGGTAAGCTCAAAAACTGGAGCTGGTTTCCAATGTTTAAGAACGGCGCTTGCTAAGGTTGCTCGGTTTGCAAAATTGTAGAAGGTATTTTGGACGAAGTTTCATGTTAATTGCAGTAAAATGTCAGTTTCTATCAAATCGAAAGTATAATTTTGGCCCAAACCTTACCTAAACCCTTCAATCATTTTTGGGTTTGGATATGACTCCTAAATAACAGTGACCAACCGGATTTCTTTTAACATGGAGATCAATCCGATTAATATACTGGGTTTCAGTTCATCAACCGTTCATCATATCATCTGATAATGTTGGCAGGTTCGGTGGTATTGAACTAACCTCATCTTGACCCAGTTCCCTTAGATTTTACTTTAATGGATTTGCATCCTCTCACATGCACTTTTCTGTCAATTCTCTCAATGGCCACCCATCATGTATGATGTGACGTCACTTCGAATCATAGTATATGGTCTAGCATTGGGGAAATTGAAAGGATGGTGTACTGAAGTTGATCTGAGTCCCACTAATAAGGGTTGTACATAAAGCTTAATTCTTCTATACTGTTGATACTGGCTCCCAGTTGGCTATGCTGTGTTGACATAGATCCCAGGATATAGCATATTACATTAGGGCTCAACCTCCACTGATATCATGTGAGGTTAATGTGGTCTGTTTGTGTGCAGATTGGAGGCTGAAGTGTTTTTTCGAAGTTATCTGGCTATCTAGCCAGCCAGTTTCATCTTGCTTGACAATATTTGTAGAACGGAAAGGTATCCAGTGGTAAATGGTGTCTTTAAGGAATTTATTCTCCCATTTTTCAAAACTGAAAGTCGGGAACGTGTGGATTAAGATTTTTTTCTGCTGAGTATTCGTGGGATCCTTTGGCAAATTACTCCATTTATTTGGTGAGGAAAGTTACTTGCCTGTATATCTACTGACTAATGTGGTGCACTCTAGCTCTTAACGTGGTTCGAAGGTTCTACTAAATTTGTTGTCTGTGGTTCAGATACTGTCATGCCTTATATGTTGATCGAATCAACATATAGAAAGGGATTTGGATCCTTTGCGGTAAATACTTTGTCAAACTCGAAATAGTTGATTATTTACTATGTGTCGGTGGGAAACCTGCATATATTGTGAGTCCCTCTTGAATTAAGTCATCGGAATCCAAGNAAAAAGGGATTTGGATCCTTTGTGGTAAATACTTTGTCAAACTCGAAATAGTTGATTATTTACTATGTGTCAGTGGGAAACCTGCATATATTGTGAGTCCCTCTTGAATTAAGTCATCGGAATCCAAGNTTGGTACCCACTCTATGGTGGTGGGGGGCAGCACTAGCTATTGTTCGGCTGGGGCACAGGTTCAATGATGTTGTTTGTCTGAGTCCCTGTCTTTAGGTTGATGTTTTCTGAATCCCATATAGGTTATCTTTTGGTCCAAGTCTCCATGGTTAATAAGTACAGAATGATTTTTTTCTTGTGTTCTTTTGGTTTTCTGCCATTTATTTAGTTGTGTTTTGGTTTTCTCTTCCAAAATACTTGCCTTTTGTCTTTCTATATATGATCTAGTGATCAATACTTCAGATGAACACATAGATAGATGGGCTCTGGGTTCTCAAATAATTCTTAAATTTCAGTTCCTTGGAAGGCGGGTTTCATTGGGCTGGATTGAGGTCTTATTTATTTAATCTTTAAGTTGTTAAAGCTGAACGCCCCAAGGGTTTTATCTCACAAATTGNTCGAAAGTATAATTTTGGCCCAAACCTTACCTAAACCCTTCAATCATTTTTGGGTTTGGATATGACTCCTAAATAACAGTGACCAACCGGATTTCTTTTAACATGGAGATCAATCCGATTAATATACTGGGTTTCAGTTCATCAACCGTTCATCATATCATCTGATAATGTTGGCAGGTTCGGTGGTATTGAACTAACCTCATCTTGACCCAGTTCCCTTAGATTTTACTTTAATGGATTTGCANCGTTCAGTTTCTGTGGGGCAGATGTTGTTGGAATAGAATTTGATGCACTACATGTTTCAGTTTTGAGGTTGCTTTGTCATAGTCGTTGACTAATCCATTTTATCGTTAGGAAGCTTTCAACTTATCATTTTCAATCAAGTCATTGCTGTGATAGAATCAACACCAAATGAACTACACAAGAATATAATTTGCTGCCATAAAATTTTCATGGGATACTCAAGTTGCTGCTTGAGCCCTTAGTACGATACAAACCTTGCATTCTCCTCTCTCTTCCTCCCTCTCTCTGTCTTTGTGTGTGTTTTTCTTTGGTGATGGGGCATCTGATTTGTGCTTCATAAAGAAATATGTCTTAGTATGAATGCAATTTGGTGATTATCATTGTTGATTTATGGATCTGAAACTAGTTCCCATGTATTTTGGTTGGGGTTTATTTGTGTGTATTCTTATTTTCCTTTGACTGTGGGGACATCTAGTTTCCCCTTTGCATGAGAAAATTCTTTGTGGACTCAGATTTGTGATTTTCGTTATTGATTGAAAGGTCTCAAACAAAATACCAGATTGTGTTAACAAAGACGGATTTGGTATTCCCAATTGATGTGGCACGCCGTGCAACGCAAATTGAAGAGGTATTACTTGAATCCATCAACTTTTTTCTTATGTCTGTAACGCTTGCCCGTTGGACTACTATTCATATGTATGATGTGGTTTTGTAGAGCCTCAAAGCAAAGAAGTCTGTTGTGCAGCCTGTGGTAATAAGTTTAATTCTTTAATTTGATTTGATGTTTTGCCCAGTATTGTATAGGACTAGCTTAGTACTTTGGCTTTGGTTTTTATTCCAGATGATGGTAAGCTCAAAAACTGGAGCTGGTTTCCAATGTTTAAGAACGGCGCTTGCTAAGGTTGCTCGGTTTGCAAAATTGTAGAAGGTATTTTGGACGAAGTTTCATGTTAATTGCAGTAAAATGTCAGTTTCTATCAAATTGAAAGTATAATTTTGGCCCAAACCTTACCTAAACCCTTCAATCATTTTTGGGTTTGGATATGACTCCTAAATAACAATGACCAACCGGATTTCTTTTAACATGGAGATCAATCCGATTAATATACTGGGTTTCAGTTCATCAACCGTTCATCATATCATCTGATAATGTTGGCAGGTTCGGTGGTATTGAACTAACCTCATCTTGACCCAGTTCCCTTAGATTTTACTTTAATGGATTTGCATCCTCTCACATGCACTTTTCTGTCAATTCTCTCAATGGCCACCCATCATGTATGATGTGACGTCACTTCGAATCATAGTATATGGTCTAGCATTGGGGAAATTGAAAGGATGGTGTACTGAAGTTGATCTGAGTCCCACTAATAAGGGTTGTACATAAAGCTTAATTCTTCTATACTGTTGATACTGGCTCCCAGTTGGCTATGCTGTGTTGACATAGGTCCCAGGATATAGCATATTACATTAGGGCTCAACCTCCACTGATATCATGTGAGGTTAATGTGGTCTGTTTGTGTGCAGATTGGAGGCTGAACTGTTTTTTCGAAGTTATCTGGCTATCTAGCCAGCCAGTTTCATCTTGCTTGACAATATTTGTAGAACGGAAAGGTATCCAGTGGTAAATGGTGTCTTTAAGGAATTTATTCTCCCATTTTTCAAAACTGAAAGTCGGGAACGTGTGGATTAAGATTTTTTTCTGCTGAGTATTCGTGGGATCCTTTGGCAAATTACTCCGTTTATTTGGTGAGGAAAGTTACTTGCCTGTATATCTACTGACTAATGTGGTGCACTCTAGCTCTTAACGTGGTTCGAAGGTTCTACTAAATTTGTTGTCTGTGGTTCAGATACTGTCATGCCTTATATGTTGATCGAATCAACATATAAAAAGGGATTTGGATCCTTTGTGGTAAATACTTTGTCAAACTCGAAATAGTTGATTATTTACTATGTGTCAGTGGGAAACCTGCATATATTGTGAGTCCCTCTTGAATTAAGTCATCGGAATCCAAGTCCTTTAAAGAGCTAGCATTATGGGATGACTGTTGATTATATTGTTGATGTCATTACGATAGTGAAGGTGGTTAAAACATCACTATGGACGACCCTTTCACTTAGTTTATTGTTCATGCTCTTCTAGATATCGTAGTAGGTGTGTTCAATTTTGCATATGATCCATCAGGCAACTTGATTTGAAAACAAACTGGTCTGTTCGAGTGGTGGGGCAGTGTGTTTGAGTGATCACGGTAGCATGCAAATTACGCCAGTTTTATGTTCACAACCACAGGATGACAAATTCAAAGATTTGGTGACCTAACTTATATGTTGTGCGATTACTTTTATTGAACAATGTTATTGTGATTTAATTTGCTGATATAATCTCTCTTTGTCATTGGTTTGTGCTTGCATGAGCCAGTAAAAAATAGGAAGAAATTCACAATCTCTTATTTATTCAAATACATTCTGATTGTCTTGCATTATTATGTGACTCTGCTAGTTAAATTGAATTCTTGTTCTCTTATTTCTTAATTAAAATATAGGGTAACTCATGCATATACTTTTTTTCTGCCTTAAACAATCTTATCCTTTAATTAAACTATCCACAAAATGCAAAAAGAAATAGGGTTTGCACAATCTTGTCGTATGATAAAGTAGTTGTTAAATTGAATTGGGTTGGATTGGATCTACAAAATCTGCCAATAGGGTTAGCACAATTGTTCCTCAAAAAAAAAAACCAGGAAAAGGNCATTCAGTTTCTGTGGGGCAGATGTTGTTGGAATAGAATTTGATGCACTACATGTTTCAGTTTTGATGTTGCTTTGTCATAGTCGTTGACTAATCCATTTTATCGTTAGGAAGCTTTCAACTTNACAAAAAAAAAAAACCAGGAAAAGGGTGTATTTTTGGGTCAGAACACTGTTATAGGGAAGGGGACGACGAGTTCGGATTTGCAACCTTAAAGTCCAATTAGGCCTGTTGCTAGCTTCAAAAGAAAAGGGTTGACTATTCGGGAATTAGGTAGTTAGTGTCCCACTCAATATCCACAATGNTTATCATTTTCAATCAAGTCATTGCTGTGATAGAATCAACACCAAATGAACTACACAAGAATATAATTGCTGCCATAAAATTTTCATGGGATACTCAAGTTGCTGCTTGAGCCCTTAGTACGATACAAACCTTGCATTCTCCTCTCTCTTCCTCCCTCTCTCTGTCTTTGTGTGTGTTTTTCTTTGGTGATGGGGCATCTGATTTGTGCTTCATAAAGAAATATGTCTTAGTATGAATGCAATTTGGTGATTATCATTGTTGATTTATGGATCTGAAACTAGTTCCCATGTATTTTGGTTGGGGTTTATTTGTGTGTATTCTTATTTTCCTTTGACTGTGGGGACATCTAGTTTCCCCTTTGCATGAGAAAATTCTTTGTGGACTCAGATTTGTGATTTTCGTTATTGATTGAAAGGTCTCAAACAAAATACCAGATTGTGTTAACAAAGACGGATTTGGTATTCCCAATTGATGTGGCACGCCGTGCAACGCAAATTGAAGAGGTATTACTTGAATCCATCAACTTTTTTCTTATGTCTGTAACGCTTGCCCGTTGGACTACTATTCATATGTATGATGTGGTTTTGTAGAGCCTCAAAGCAAAGAAGTCTGTTGTGCAGCCTGTGGTAATAAGTTTAATTCTTTAATTTGATTTGATGTTTTGCCCAGTATTGTATAGGACTAGCTTAGTACTTTGGCTTTGGTTTTTATTCCAGATGATGGTAAGCTCAAAAACTGGAGCTGGTTTCCAATGTTTAAGAACGGCGCTTGCTAAGGTTGCTCGGTTTGCAAAATTGTAGAAGGTATTTTGGACGAAGTTTCATGTTAATTGCAGTAAAATGTCAGTTTCTATCAAATTGAAAGTATAATTTTGGCCCAAACCTTACCTAAACCCTTCAATCATTTTTGGGTTTGGATATGACTCCTAAATAACAATGACCAACCGGATTTCTTTTAACATGGAGATCAATCCGATTAATATACTGGGTTTCAGTTCATCAACCGTTCATCATATCATCTGATAATGTTGGCAGGTTCGGTGGTATTGAACTAACCTCATCTTGACCCAGTTCCCTTAGATTTTACTTTAATGGATTTGCATCCTCTCACATGCACTTTTCTGTCAATTCTCTCAATGGCCACCCATCATGTATGATGTGACGTCACTTCGAATCATAGTATATGGTCTAGCATTGGGGAAATTGAAAGGATGGTGTACTGAAGTTGATCTGAGTCCCACTAATAAGGGTTGTACATAAAGCTTAATTCTTCTATACTGTTGATACTGGCTCCCAGTTGGCTATGCTGTGTTGACATAGGTCCCAGGATATAGCATATTACATTAGGGCTCAACCTCCACTGATATCATGTGAGGTTAATGTGGTCTGTTTGTGTGCAGATTGGAGGCTGAACTGTTTTTTCGAAGTTATCTGGCTATCTAGCCAGCCAGTTTCATCTTGCTTGACAATATTTGTAGAACGGAAAGGTATCCAGTGGTAAATGGTGTCTTTAAGGAATTTATTCTCCCATTTTTCAAAACTGAAAGTCGGGAACGTGTGGATTAAGATTTTTTTCTGCTGAGTATTCGTGGGATCCTTTGGCAAATTACTCCGTTTATTTGGTGAGGAAAGTTACTTGCCTGTATATCTACTGACTAATGTGGTGCACTCTAGCTCTTAACGTGGTTCGAAGGTTCTACTAAATTTGTTGTCTGTGGTTCAGATACTGTCATGCCTTATATGTTGATCGAATCAACATATA